AAAACAATGCAAAATGGATCAGAAACTAAATGGGAAAGCTAAGACTTTAAACTTACAGAAGAAAACACAGCAGAAAATCTTCCAACACTTCCAATTAGATAAGCAATGTCTTAGAAAAAACACAAACCACACACAAAAAAAACTGATAAAGTGGATTTCATCATAAATCAAAAATTTTCCATTTCAATAAACAGCATGTTGCCGGCACCGCAGCTCACTAGGCTAATCCTCCGCCTGCGGCGTCGGCACCCCAGGTTCTAGTCCCGGTTGGGGTGCCGGATTCTGTCCCGGTTGCTCCTCTTCCGGTCCAGCTCTCTGCTGTGGCCAGGGAGGACAGTGGAGGATTGCCCAAGTGCTTGGGCCCTGCACCCGCATGGGAGACCAGGAGGAAGCACCTGGTTTCTGGCTTCGGATTGGCGCAGCGCGCTGGCCATAGCAGCCATTTGGGGGGTGAACCAACGGAAGGAAGACCTTTCTCTCTGTCTCTCTACTCTGCCTGTCCAAAAAAAAAAAAAAAAAAAAAAAACAGCATGAAAAAGTGAAAAGCCAAGCCATATACCAGGAGAAAATATCTGCAAATCATATATCCAATAAAGGATTTAATGTATCTAGAAAACAAACAAACAAAAAAAAAAACTTACTGCTCAAAAAGACAAGCATCCCAGCAAAAAAATGGCTGAGAAGCCAGCATTGTGGTGTACAGATTAAGCTCCACCTACAGTGCCGGCATCCCAAATGGTCACCAGTTTGAGTTCTGGATGTTCTACTTCCAATCCAGCTCCCTGCTAAGGTGTCTGGAAATGCAGCAGAGGATGGCCCAACTCCTTGGTCCCAGTACCCACAAGGGAGATCCAGAGAAGCTCCTGGCTCCTGGCTTTGATCGGGCCAAGCCTGGGTAACCATTTGGGGAGTGAATCACCGGAGGGAAGATATCTAACTCTTTCAAATAAATTTCTAAAAAACATGGGCAAGAGAGTTGAATAAGCATTTCACCACAGATACACAAATGGCATGAAATGATACTCAGTATCACTAGTCATTAGAAAAATGCGAGTCAAAATCACATTGAGGGCCCAGTGTTGTAGTATAGCAGGTTAAGCTCCACCTGCAACACAGGCATCCCATATGGTTACTGGTTCAAGTCCTAGCTGCTCCACTTCCCATCCAGCTCCCTGCTAACGTGCCTGGGAAAGCAGCAGAGGATGGCTCAAATGCTTGGGCCCCTGCACCCATGTGGGAGACCTGGAAGAAGCTCCTGGCTCTAGTCTGTGGCCACTTAGGGATGAAGATCAGTCTTCTTCTCTCTCTGTAAACTCTTTCAAGTAAATAAATAAATCTTAAAAAAGAAAAAAAAAATCACAAGATACTACCTCACACCCACCAGGATGGCTATAATCTAACATTAGAAAATACTAAGCATTGGTGAGCATGCGGAGAAGCTGAAGCCCTCGTACATTGCTGTTGGAAATACAAAATGGTGCAACCACTTTAGACAGCAGCTGGACATTTCCGCAGAATTAAGCACAGTTACTACACAATTCCACCTATATGTTGTACCCAAGAGAGATGAAAATACACATCCACACAGCACTAAACACAAATGTTCATAGCAGCCCTAATCAAAATAGCCAAAAAGCAGAAAAAACCCAAATGCCCATCTACTAATAAGTGGATAAACAAGGTGCTAAAACCAAACAATAGAATGGTATTCAGCAACCAAAAAGAAAAGAAAGAAAAAAGAAAAGAAAAGAAAAGAAAAGAAAAGAAAAGGGCGGAAGGAAAGGAAAAGGAAAAGGAAAGGAAAGGAGGAAGGAAATTGACACATGCTGCAACACAGCTGAAGTTTAACAACTTTATGCTGGGATGGGCGTTGTGGCACAGGAGGTTAAGCCACCACTCCGAATGCCTACATCCCCTACTGGACTGCCTGCAGGTCCTGCCTTCACTTCCAATCCAGCTTTCTGCTAATGCTCATGGGAGGCAGCAGATGACGGCACAAGGGCTTGAGTTTCTGGATTCTGACTTTGGCTTGTCCCAGCCCTGACACTTGGCAGGCATGTGGGAAGTGAACCAGTTGATCTCTCAATCACAATCTCTTTCTGCATCTTTCAAATAAATGAATAAATAAAACTTTTCAAAAAGAAAACATTAGGGGCCAGCACTGTGGCTTAGGGGGGAAAGCTGCCATCTGCAGCGCTGGAATCCAATATGGGTGGTGGTTTGAGACCTGGGTGCTCCACTTCCAATACAGCTCTCTGCAATGGCCTGGGAAAACTGTGGAAGATGGTCCAAGTGATTGGGCTGCTGCACCCACATGAGAGACCCGGAAGAAGCTCCTGGCTCCTTGGCTTCAGATCGGCCCAGCTTGAGCTGCTGTAGCCACCTGAGGAATGAACCAATGGATGGAAGATATCTGTCTGTCTGTGTGTGTGTCTCTCTCTGCCTCTGCCTCTAAGACCACCTTTCAAATAAATAAATCTTAAAAAAGAAAGAAAATATTATCCTGACAAAGAAGCCAACATAAAAGATCACATACTATATTATTCCATTTATGTGTATTGTCCAGAAAGGAAATTTATGAATATTTTTCTAGGGTAGAAAGGAGAATGAAATGTAAATAGGCCGGCGCTGTGGCTCAATAGGCTAATCCTCCACCTAGCGGCGCCGGCACACCGGGTTCTAGTCCCGGTTGGGGTGCCGGATTCTTCCAGGCCAGCTCTCTGCTGTGGCCCGGGAGTACAGTGGAGGATGACCCAAGTGCTTGGGCCCTGCACCCCATGGGAGACCAGGAGAAGCACCTGGCTCCTGCCTTCGGATCAGCGCGGTGCGCCAGCCATGGCGGCCATTGGAGGGTGAACCAACAGCAAAAGGAAGACCTTTCTCTCTGTCTCTCTCTCACTATCCACTCTGCCTGTCCAAAAAACAAAAAAAACAAAAAACAACAAAAAAATGTAAATAGACATAAGGATCGTATAGGGGCTGACGCTGTGGCACAGTGGGTAAAGCCACCGCCTGTAGTGCTGGCATCCCATATGGGCACCGGTTTGTATCCGGCTGCTCCATTTCCAATTTGGCTCTCTGCTATGGCCTGGGAAAGCAGTAGAAGATGACCTAAGTCCTTGGGCCCCTGCACCCAAATGGGAGACCCAGAAGAAGCTCCTGGCTTCAGATCAGCACATCTCTGGCCATTGCAGCCAACTGGGGAGTAAACCAGCAGATGGAAGATTTCTCTCTCTCTCTCTGACTCTCCTTCTCTCTGTGTGTAACTCTGACTTTCAAATAAATAAATAAATCTTAAAAAAAAAAAAATTTCTCTGGATGAAGCCTTGTCAACTTCCCATCCTTGAAACTTAACTCTTGGCCCCTAACCTTATACTACGCTAATCCTCTTCCCACTTCTTGACCTGTTTCCTTAGCCAACCCCTATATCCATTCACATTTTACCAAAGAGAGACTCTGTGCACCCAAAATGGAAAAAAAAATTGTTTTTCTTCTCTTTCCAGCTGCAAAATTTATTAACACCAATCAGCTTCAAGTCACCATTGTTTCTTTATCCCTATTAACTGTCCTTAGGGCATTCTTCATGTGTTTGTTCTAATTCTCCAATTAGAAGATAAATTCAAAAAGTACTAACTTGCTTTTTTCTTAATTTTGTACTACTATAATTACTTTAATGCAAAACTACACATGAAACAAATAGAATTCAGTATCTTTTACTGACTTTCATAAGATTGTTGGGGGAATAGACATTTGGTTATAGCAGTAAGACATCAAATGGGACACCTGCATCCCACGTCATAGTGCCTGGCTCTACTCCCAATCAGGCTTCTTGCTAATGCCTACTGTGGAAGGCAGCAGGTGATGGTTCCAGTGGTTAAATACCTTCCAGCCATGTGGAAGATCCAGATCGAGTTCCCAGATCTGGCTGCTATGAACATTTGGGAAGTGAATCAACAGTCGGCAATCAATCTAATAAATTTTATTTTTAAATAAGATGACTGGGATTATCCTAGGCAAATTTCTAAGAAGATCTGTTGATCCAGCTTGGAGACCATTCGGCCTGTTCTAACAAGTTGAATGGCTTATAAACAGCACAGATTTAATTCTCACATTTCTGGATGATGGGAAGTCCAAAATCAAGGTTCTAGCTGATTAACTGTCTGGTGAGGACCTACTTTCTAGGCCACAGGCAGTGCCTTCAAGCTATGTCCTCACATGGCAGATGATGAAAAGGGTCTCTCTCAGGCTTCTCTTATAAAGACACTAATACCATGCATGATCTAAGCATCTCCTAAAGGCTCCAACTCCTAATACCATCACCTTCAGGATTAGGATTTCAACATAAGAATTTTAGTGGGTTTAAAAACATTCACATCAGGGCTGGCACTGTGGCATAAAGGGTAAAGTTGCCACCTGCACTGCCAGAATCCCATTTGGGCATTGGTTCGAGTTCCAACTGTTCCACTTCTGATCCAGCTCTCTGCTAGTGTCTGGGAAAGCAGGAGAAGATGGCCCAAATCCTTGGGTTCCTGCATCCATGTGGGAGACCCAGAAGAAGCTCCTGGCTTTGGATCAGCCCGCTCTGGCTGTTGTAGCCATTTGGGGACTGAACCAGAAGATAAAAGACCTCTCTCTATCTCTGCCTCTCTGTAATTCTGCCTTTCAAATAAATTCATAAATCTTTAAAAAAAAATTCACATCATAACAGACCATATTTTAAACACAATTTGAAAACTAAGAACTTTATGTGATCTTTCCTCATATGCACTTAAAGTTTCCTGGCAGTTAATTTGTACCCAGATGGCTAATGATATTCAAGCTAAAAATGTTCAAGTTCTATAAAGCAAATTTAATTCCTCCAGATTTCTAAAATTTCACATCATAAAGCACAACTACAAATCACAAGGAACATTTATAAATAAATGCCTTTAGGCTATTCTCTTCCAGATTATTTGCTTCTGTTAAACCTTAATAACTGCAAAAAATTAACAATAACTTACCAAATCCCAAAGTCCAACTTGCCCAGATTTGGCCCCAGCTGCTACCAAAGTTCTAGTTTCTGATGGGTGAAGAGCCACAGAGAATACTGCGCCTCTGGTAACTTTACAAACAGTATCTTCATTAATGACCATGCCATTTAAATTGGCTTTGTAGCTGAGAAAATTAAAAAGTTAACTTGAAAGTAAAACCAATCTCAACAGTCAAAATAAGTAAAAGATGATTCAAAACACAAAAATCAATTAGTAAATAAATGCAGGAAAATACTCAACTCTTAGTAACTAAAGAAACCAACTTAATTAATGAGATGGTTTCAATTATAAAATCACCCTTGATAATCTTAATTGCAACACTGAAAATTAGCAGGCTATTGTTAAATGTAACACACAAATAATGCTGGTGACAGATTTAAGTTCCAGTAAGGTTTTCAGAAGGAAAAAAAGATTTTTGGAAAACAATTCATCAATCTTGTACTAAAAGCCACAAAAACATCATTATATTTGATTTATTAATATCACTTTTGGGAATCTAGCCTAAGGAAATACTCTCCTATCTCACACACACTTAAACATACACAGATACACACCAAAACTAGATAGAAAACAACCCCAAATGCCAAAACAGGTGGAAGCAGATTCTACTACTCAATGAAATACTATACAATTAATAATTTTAAAGACACTAGTACATGCAACCACTAATGAAAAGAGTATAATGCAAAACATCAGAACATAACAAAGTAAAACAATGTGAATTTATTCATTTGTTCAACATTGAACAAATATATACTTGTGTGCCAGGCACCATTTCAATTATTGAGACAAAAACCATGCCCTCATAAAGCTTATAACCTAGTGGCACTGCACATGGCAACACTTGAAGAGAAGCATACAAAACAAAAATAGTTGTTAGGATAAAAACATTATGGGTAATCACTCCAAAACTTCCTGTATTAGTATATGGCTTTTGTAACTCAAATAGTTCAAAAGATGTAAAACTCAAACATCTCAAAAAATGTATAACAGTCAAAGAATTTTAACTTACCTTTTAATGCTAGATAACTTCTGCTCCGTGTTCTTACTACTGGACTGAAACATTGGGAGAGAACAAGGTGCTAAATTAATACTTTTTTTTTTTTTCCTTCACAGATGACTTTAAGAGCTATAAGCCCTCTCAAGTGATACCTTGCTCATTTCTGCCCATGTCAGCAGGAATCCTTTGAGTAGCTCACTGTTGTCATCTCGATTTTCAGGAACCATTTCTAACGGCCCAGGAGGTAACAAAGGCTGTTACAAAAAAATTAAAACAAGTTGATTGTTGGTCTCTTTGCTCCAGAATATACCCAAGGAGCAAGTATTTGTCTGTTTTTCCCACTACCTTCTGATTTCTTTTCTAGAAATTATTTTTTTATTGGGATGGCACAGAGACAAAGAGATTGGAAACTTTCATCCACCTGTTCACTACCCAAAATGTCTATAACAATCAGGCTTGCTAAAGACCCAAGCCAAGAACCTGGAACTCAGTCCAAGTCTCTTATGTGGGAGGCAGGGACGCAAGTACTAGTGTCATCATCTGCTGCCTCTCAGGGTGCATATTAGCAAGAAGCTAACATGGAAGCAGAGGATCTGGAACTCAAACCTGGGACTCTCTATTGCATGTGGTCATCCCGAGTGGTACCTCAACCACTGTGCCAAACCCCTCCCCCACTACTTTATTTTCAACATGTGTGCTACCACTCCTTGGGTATTCAGAAATAATTGTGTTCAATACTCCTTAGAATAGTGAACACAGTAAGCATTCACATGTCAGTTATTACTATAACCCTTATAATTACCATGGCTGGCACCTTTATCTCTATTATACTATATGACATGTTCAGCTATTTCTCTACATATTTAACTTTCTCATTAGTGTTTTTCAAAACTATCTGTGATAATAAAATGAATTAAACAGTTCCTATGTAGTATTTTAATTTAATAAACAAGAAGAGAATAAAAACAGAGTGTTTCAATTTCTGAGTTGTCAAGTTACCATATAAAACACAATTTCTGGGGCCAGCTCTGTGGCATAGAGGCTTAAGCTGCAGCCTGCAGTGCCAGCATCCCATATGGCTGCTGGTTTGTGACCTGGCTGCTCCACTTCCAATCCAGCTCCCTGCTTATGTGCCTAGGGAAAGCAGTGGAAGATGGCCCAAGTGCTTGGGGCCTTGCATCCAAATGGGAGACCTAGATGAAGTTCCTGGCTCTGGGTTTTTGGCTTCTGTTTGGCACAGTCCTGGCTGTTGCAGCCATTTGGGGAATGAACCAGTAGATGGAAGACTACTCTCTGCCTCTGCCTCTGCCTCTCCCTCTCTGTAACTCCACCTTTCAAATAAATAAATCTTAAAAAAAAAAAATCAAGAAAGAAAATTGTTGATGGGGCCAGCATTGTGGTACAGTGGGTAAAGCTACCACCTCCGACACCTGCAATCCATATAGGCACCGGTCCAAGTGCTAGCTGCTCCACTTTTAGTCCAGGTACCAGCAAATGGGCTGGGAAAAGCAGTGGAAGATAGCCCAAGTGTCTGGGTTCCTGCCACCACGTGGGAGACATGAAGGAAGCTCCTGGCTTCAACTTAGCCCAGACCTGGCCATTGTGGCCATTTGGTGAATAAACTAGGGGATGGAAGATCTCCCTCTGTCTCTCTCTGTAGCTCTGACTTTCATATAAATAAAATAAATCTTTGGGGCTGGTGTTGTGGCATAGTGGGTTAAACTACCACCTGTGACACTGGCACCTTATGTGGACACTGAATTGAAACCCAGGTCTCCAATTCCAATCCATCTCCCAGCAAATGCACCTGGGAAAGCAGAAGATGGTCCAAGTGCTTGGGCCCCTGCAACCAGTGGGAGACCCAAAAACAACTCTGAGCTCCTTGCTTTGATCCGACACAACCCTGGCTGTTGTAGCCATTTGGGAGTGACCAAGCAGATGTAAGATTTTTCTCTCTGTGTGTGTCTCTCTCTCTACACCTTTCAAATAAAAGTAAGTGGAAGGAAGGAAGGAAGGAAGGAAGGGAGGGAGGGAGGGAGGGAGGGAGGGAGGAAGGAAGGAAGTATCCAGGACACACGCATCCCATATCAGTGTGTGTGGCTAGAGTCCTAGATCCTCTGCTAACCCACCTTCCTGCATGCTGAGAAGCAGAAGGTAAGTGCCCAAGTTAGTTAGGTCCCTCTCATCTCTGTGGGAGACCTGTCTTGAGCTCCAGGCTCCTAGCTTCAACCTCTCCCAGGCCAGTTACTGCAGGCATTTAGAAGGTGAACCAGCAGATTAAAGAGCTTTCTCTGTCTCTGTCTTTAAAATAAAATAAATAATAATTGTTCAATAAATGAATGCCAGGTATTCCTCAACAAAAGAATAGCATGGATTATCTTATTTAATCCTCTCAAAATCTCATTGAATGAGATATCATACACACACACACAATTTTTTTCCCCCTCTATCCCATTGAATGTCAACTGCCACTAGTACAGTCCCAAGGCAAAGATACAATCAAGGATTTTCTTTCAGGACCAGCTACCAAATCCTGGTCCCACTGCCTACGGAAGGACTAGTGAAAAGTGCTAGTGAGATTCCATATTTTAAAGTCACTGGAATACAACTGGCAGAACTGGCCCAAAATCACACTGCCAACAACTAGGGAAGCTGGGAATTTACTCCTATCAGTTCAATTTCAATATTCAATGTTTTTTTTTAGATTCATTTATGGAGGGGGCTGACACTGTAGCATAGCAGGCTAAGCCTCTGCCTTCAAATGCTAGCATCCCATATGGGCACCGTTTCTAGTCCCCACTGCTCCTCTTCCAAGTCAGCTCTCTGCTATGGCCTGGGAAAGCAGTGGAAGATGGCCCAAGTGATTGGGCCCCTGTACCTGTAGAGGAGACCTGGAGGAAGTTCCTGGCTCCTGGCTTCAGATCAGCCCAGCTCCAGCCATGACAGCTATTTGGGGAATTAATCAGCATATGAGAGACCTTTCTTTCTGTCTCTTCCTCTCAAATAAGTAAATAAAATCTTAAAAAAAAATTTATTGAAAGGCAGAGTTACAGAGAGAGAGAGAGAGAGAGAGAGAGAGAGAGAGAGAGATAGCGAGCGAGCGCTTCTATCTGCTGGTTCACTCCCCAGAGAGCTGCAACAGCCAGAACTGGACCAATCTGAAACCAGGAGCTTCCTCTCGGTCTCCCTAATGGGTGCAGGGGCAATCTTCTGCTGCTTTCTCAGGCATGTTAGTTAGAAGCTGGATCAGAAGTGGAACAGCCAGGACTCAAATCAGTGCCCATGTGGGATGCTGGCACTGCAGGCAGAGGCTTAACCCACTACACCACAGCGCTGGCCCCTCAATGTTACTATTTTTCAATAATGTCTTTAAAGCACAGATTGTAAATCATGAATGGGCTGTGAAATAATTTTAATGTCACAACTAGAAATTTGAGTAAATAACAGGAAATACCAAATTGTATCACATGGAGAAAAGATGCCACAGAGCAAAATTATTGTTTCAGTTGTATGTGCAAGTGTGTGTATACATATGTAATGGGTTCTATATGTCTTATTGTGAATTGAGTCTTCAAAAAAACTTGGAAACTAATCTTATATGGTTCTTTCCATAGCACTTTGATTTGCAGTTAGCTTCCAAAGCACCAGTCTAATTAAGATTATCTTTCAATTTATAACCAAGCACTTAAAGTATGAAAAACTATAGGTGCTTTTTAATAAAACATGTTATTATAATCTTATTTAGAGAATAAACCTGCTGAATAAAACTCTTCCCACTCATTGACAGTATAAAATTAACCTACAACAAGGGATTCAAATCACTTTTATCATACATCACTTACTATTCATATTAATAACCAAACCCTTAATGCAATGTAAGGAACGTCACAGATATAATTTCACTTAATCCTCACAACAGTCCTCTAAGGTTTTTATTATAGTTTCCATTTGTAAAATGGGAAAACAGAGCCTCAGAAAGATTAAATAATTTACCCACAACTCCACAAGAGTTGAGTCCTACAGAATTATAGAATTCAACCCAGTATTTTGGCTTCCAAATATTACTCATTAAATCATACAACATTCAAGCATTAAATTAATGAAATAGAAATTAAACCTAATCCAAAGAACTTGAAACACTTTAAATCCTTCAGTATGTTATTAAGTTAATATATTTGTACTTTTTCTTACATTTTCATCTTCTTCTGGTGTTGGCTGTGTAGGAGTTTCTGGTAATGGAATTCCTGAAGGATCTACTTTTAGCAATCGCATTGACCTTCTACATCCAATTTCATTTTCTCTCTTCTTAGGCTTCTTTCTAAAGTAGAAGAAAAAAATTCACCTTATACTCATAAAACTAATGTTTTAATAATATTAAGGAGATAACATACATATCATACAGATATATTTTCAGATTTCATAGATTATATTCAGATGGCCACAATGATTTTTAACAAAAAGTTTAAAAAACTAAACCTAGGGGTCAGCACTGTGGTGTTGTGGGCTAGGCCTCTACCTGCAATACTGGCATCCCATATGGGCGCCACTTCGTGTCTGAGCTGCTCCTCTTCCAACCCAGCTCTCTAGTAAATGGTCTGGGAAGGCAGTGGAGGATGGCCCAAGTGTTTGGGCCCTTGCACCCACGTGGGAGACTGAGAGGAAGCTTCTGGCTCCTGGCTTCAGATCAGCCCAGCTCTAACTGTTCTAACCGTTGCAGTCATCTGGGCAGTGAACCAGTGGATGGAAGACCTTTTTTTTTTTTTTTTTTTTTGACAGGCAGAGTGGACAGAGAGAGAGACAGAGAGAAAGGTCTTCCTTTTGCCGTTGGTTCACCCTCCAATGGCCACCGCGGCCGGCGCGCTGCAGCCAGCGCACCGCACTGATCCGATGGCAGGAGCCAGGAGCCAGGTGCCTTTCCTGGTCTCCCATGGGGTGCAGGGCCCAAGCACCTGGGCCATCCTCCACTGCACTCCCTGGCCACAGCAGAGAGCTGGTCTGGAAGAGGGGCAACCGGGACAGAATCCGGCGCCCCGACCGGGACTAGAACCCGGTGTGCCGGCGCCGCTAGGCGGAGGATTAGCCTAGTGAGCCGCGGCGCCGGCCAGACCTTTTTTTTTTTTCTACAGGCAGAGTTAGACAGTGAAAGAGAGAGAGAGACAGAGAGAAAGGTCTTACTTCCGTTGGTTCACCCCCCAAATGGTCGCTACAGTTGGTGCGTTGCGCCAATCCGAAGCCAGGAGCCAGGTGCTTCCTCCTGGTCTCCCATGCTGGTGCAGGACCCAAGCACTTGGGCCATCCTCCACTGCCTTCCCAGGCCACAGCAGAGAGCTGGACTTGAAGAGGGGCAACCAGGACAGAATCCGGCGCCCCGTCCGGGACTAGAACCCAGGTTGCTGGCGCCACAGGCAGAGGGTTAGCCAAGAAAGCCACAGTGCCGGCCATGTCCCTTTCTCTGTCCATAATTCTGCCTCTCAAATAAATAAATCGTTAAAAAAAAAAAAAAAAAAAAAAAACTAAACCTAAATGTTCATCATGAGAAAGTGAGGAACATTAAACAAACTATGATATACAATCGTATTATGAAAAAAGTATGCATAGATTTCAATTTCTTTTGGACCAAAATAAATATATTTTTCACCACCTTTTTGAAATACACTTATATACATCTTGTGATATACAACCATAGAAAGAATGAAACAGGTCTTTGTTTCCTAAAGAAGTGAACTCTAAGAAACAAAAACAAGACCAGTACATGTTTTTTAAAAAAATTATACATTTATTCATGCTGAAGTTCCCTAGGGAGGAATATACAGGAAACTACTCACAGGATTCTTCTAGAGAGGAAGCCTGGAAAATTAGGTCTAGGATGGGAAGGAGACTTTACTATTTCACTACATTCCCTTCTATATCACTTTTTTTTTTTTCAAGATTTTTTTATTTACTTGAGAGACAGAGTTACAGAGAGGAAGAGACAGAGAGAAAAGTCTTCCATCCACTAGTTTACTCCCCAAGTAGTTGCAATGGCTGGAGCTGGGCCAATCCAAAGCCAGGAGCTTCCTTCAGGCCTCCCACATGGGCGCAGGGGCCCAAGTACTTGAGCCATCTTCCGCTACTCTCCCAGACGCATAAGCAGGGAGCTGGATCTGAAGTGAAGCAACAGGGTCTCGGGTCTTGAATAGGCACCCATATGAGAAGTCGGAACCAACTTAACCCACTATACCACAACAGTGACATCTATATTGTTTACTTTTAAAATCAAATACAACCCCTACATTATACAATATTTTTTTCCTTTTTAAAAAATGTACTTCATTTACAATATTCTGGGGAAACAAGTTCTGAAATTACTTCCAGAACCTACAGAGATGTTGGCAATGGCATAGCAGTTAAGACATCATTTCAGAGACCCACATCCCATAGAGGAGTCCCTGGTTCAAGCCCTAGCTCTTTCACTTTCCATCCAGTTTCTTGCTAATGGGCACCATGGGAGGCAGCAGATGAGAGCCAAGTGGATAAAGATATCCCTTTCTCTTTCTGTAACTGCTTTCAAGTAAATAAAATTTTTTACAAGATTTATTTATTTATTTGAGAGGCAGAGATACAGAGAGAGGGAGAGACAGGAGAGAGAGATCTTCCATTTGCTGGTTCACTCCCCAGATGGCCCCAATGGCTGGAGCTGGGCCAATCCAAAATCAGGAGCCAGGAGCTTCTTCTGGGCCTCCCACATGGGTGCAGGGGCCCAAGCACTTAGGCAATCTTCCAATGCTTTCTCAGGTAATTAAAACGGAGCTGTATAGGAAGTGGAGCAGCCAGGATTTGAACTAGCAACAATATGGCATGCTAGCGCTGCAGGTGAAGGCTTAGCCCACTATGCCACAGCACCAGACCCTAAATACTTAAAAAAGAAAAAAATTACAAAAAAAAAAAAAAAAACAACAACCTTGAACCCAAATTTGAGAAATTGAAAAAGCTGTGATCTTTCATCTATATTATTTAACTTCCATACTACCAACTTGATAATACTATCTATACAACTACTAGTGCTAGAATGTTGTGATTCAGGAACAAATCACCAGTCTCGACTAATGAAAAACATGAAAATGTAAAACTACTTATCAGCTGCAATAGGATCAGAGCTATTAGTCTCCCAGTGTTAAAGATGCACCTCTTGTAACAACTCTTTACACTTCCAAGTACCTGGCCACAATCAAAAGTTTATTCTTGGGGCTGGTACTGTAGCGTAGCAGGTAAAGCCACCGTCTGCATTGCCAGAATCCCATACGGGCACCAGTTCAAGTCCCGGCTGCTCCACTTCCAATCCAGCTCTCTGCTACGGCCTGGAAAAGCAGTGAAAGATGGCCCAACTCCTTGGGCCCCTGAACCCAACTGCGACCAATTGGGAAGTGAACCAGTGAATGGAAGAGCTCTTTCTCTGCCTCTCCTTCTCTCTCTCTGCAACTCTTTCAAATAAATATTAAAAAAAAAAAAAAAAAAAAAAAGTTTACTCTCTTAAGCCTGGCTTCAGCCTGGCCCATACTTGGCCACTAGAGCCATCTGGGGAGTGAACCAGTGGATGGAAGACTTCTCTCTGACTCTGCCTCTCCCTCTCAATTTGTTTCAAATAAACAAATAAATCTTTAAAATATATATAGAGGCTGGCTCCGTGGTGCAGTAGGTTAATCCTCCGCCTTCGGAGCCAGCATCCCTTATGGGCACCGGTTCTAGTCCTGGCTGCCCCTCTTCCAATCCAGCTCTCTGCTATGGCCTGGGAAAGCAGTGGAAGATGGCCCAAGTTCTTGAACCCCTGCACCCATGTGGGAGACCAGGAAAAATTACCTGGCTCCTGGCTTCGGATTGGTGCAGCTCTGGCCGTTGCGGCCATCTGGGAAGTGAACCAACAGAAGAAAGACCTTTCTCTCTGTCTCTCCCTCTCACTCTATAACTCTACCTCTCAAATAAATAAATTATATATATATATATATATATATATATATATATATATATATATATATAAAGGTTAGCTTTTCTTAAGCTAACTCATCAGTAATGGAATCAAATAAATTAAAACTATATTTCATTAGCATCAAGGACTAAACAAATGAGCTCACACCAAGAATTTTAGTTTCTTCATTCACATGAAAGCTCTGCTAAAATGCAGTAGAAACAATTTTTTTAAAGATCTATTTATTTATTTGAAAGGCAGACTTACAGAGAGGCAGAGGCAGAGAGGTAAGTTCTTCCATCTGCTGGTTCACTCCCTAAACGGCCAGAGCTGGTCTGATCTGAAGCCCAGAGCCAGGAGTTTCTTCCGGGTCTCCCACATGGGCGCAGGGACTCAAGGATATGGTCCATCTTCCATTGCTTTCCCAGGCCATAGCAGAGAGCTGGATCAGAAGCAGAGCAGCTGGGACTCGAACTGGCGCCCATATGGGATACTGGCACCGCAAGTGGTGACTTTACCCACTATGCCACAGCATCAGCCCCCAGAAACAACTCTAGCTAAAGGAATCCTAAAGGAGACTGACATCGTGGCACAGTGGATTAAATCACTACTGACAATGCAAGCATACCGTAACAGAGCACAAGTTTGAGTCCCAGCTGCTCCACTTCCAATCCAGCTCCCTGCTAATGCACCTAAGAAAGCAGTGGATGATGGCCCAAGTGCTTAGGCCCATGGGAGACCCAGATGGAGGTCCAGGTTCTGGTTTTGGCCTTGACCAGCCCAAGCCATTGTAGCCATTCAGAAAATGAACCAGTAGGGGCTGGTGCTGTGGCTCAGCAGGTAAAAGCCTTGACCTGCAGTGCTGGCATCCCATATGGGTGCCAATCTGAGACTCAGCTACTCCACTTCCGATCCAGCTCCATGCTAGAATACTTCAGAAGCCAACAGAGGATGACCCAGGTGCTTAGGCCTCTGTACCCACATGGAAGATCTGGAAGAAGCTCCTGGCTCCTGACTCCGGCTTGGCCCAGCCCTGGTCATTATGGCCCTGCAGGGAGTGAACCAGCAGATGGAAGATCTGTCTCTCCTTCTCTAGCTCTGCCTTTCAAATAAATAAATCTTTAAAAAAATAAGTGAACCAGTGGATGGAAGATTTCATTGTGTCTCTTCCTATTACCCAGCCATTCAAATAAATATTTTTTTTTTAGATTTATTTATTTGAGAGGTGAGTTATAGAGAGGGAGAGACAGAGAGAAAGAGGTTTTCCATCTGCTGGCTCACTCCCCAAAATGGCCACAAGGGCTGGAACTGGGCCAATCTGAAGCCAGGAGCCAGGAGCTTCTTCCAGGTCCCCATGTAGGTACAGGGGCCCAAGCACTTGGGCCATTTCCACCACTTTCCCAGGCCATTAGCAGGGAACTGGATAGGAAGTAGAGCAGCCAGGACTCAAACAAGTGGCTATGGGATACCAGCACCGAAGGCAGAGGCTTAACCTACTATGCCACGGTCCCAGCCCCTGATTTTATTTTTAAACTTAAAAATAAAAATAAAGGAATCCTTAAGTTCAAATCCTAGAGTACCACTTACCAGCTATTTCGACCTTGGTCAAATATCTCTTTGGGTTGCTTCCTAACTCATAAAATGGATAAATCATGTACAAAGTCTGATTAAATGAGAAAACAGGACAAAATTTCCAGTTCACTATATCATGTTTCATAGATGTTCAATAAATGTTAATTTCCTTCCCTTATTGACTAGGGGAAAAATTGACAAACAAAAGGATAGCCAGAAAAATTTAAAAGTATAAAAAACCTTAAGAACAGTTTTCTGGGCAAAAATGAAAATAATTTCATGAAAATAACAATTTTCTCCATTAGCAACAAGAATAAATATAAACAAAATTAAGCTCTGGAGATCTTATTTCTTCCATCTTCCTTTAATGAGGATGAGAACTGTAAAGTTACTAAAAGCACTCTTTCAAACATTCTATAGTGATTAACATTAAATTACTGACTTTCTAATCTTTTACTTAAATTTATTACACCAAGCCATTTTTTTAATTTTAAGTTTTATTTTATTTTATTTTATTTGAAAGGCTGAGTTACAGAAACAGAGAGAGAAAGAGATTGTGTTTCACTCCCCAAATGGCCACAACAGCTAGGGCTGGGCCAAACTGAAGCCAGAAGCCTGGAACCCCATCAGGATCTCCCATGTGGATGCAGAGGCCCAACCACTTGGGCCACCTTCCATTGCTTTCCCAGACACAGTAGCAGGGAACTGGATCAGAAGAGCAGCCAGGACCCGGATCAGCTCCCTCATAGGATGCTGGCATTTTAAGGCACCAGCCTAACCCATTATGGCACAAGATTGGCCCCAATCTTTTCAAGTTATAAGACAGCTCAGCAGGGGCCAGTGTTTGCAAGCGGCAGTTTAAATCAAATCTTTTACCTCTTAGATTCAGGAGGCTTGCTCTTCTTTATCATTTCACGGAGCCTTGCAGCTGACTGAAAAGTACACAAAACATATTTATACAAGTAAAAATGCCACCTTATAACTACATATATAGTTTACATTTTAAAAAATTAAGTATCTGGGGGCCGGTGCTGTGGTGTAGCAGGTAAAACTGCCACCCTCAGTGCCAGCATCCCATATAGGCGCTGGTTTGAGACCTGGCTGTTCCACTTTTTTTTTTTTTTTGACAGAGTGGACAGTGAGAGAGAGAGACGAGAGACAGAGAGAAAGGTCTTCCTTCCATTGGTTCACCCCGCAATGGCCGCTGTAGCCGGCCCGCTGCAGGCGGCGTACCGTGCCAATCTGAAGCCAGGAGCCAGGTGCCTTTCCTGGTCTCCCATGCGGGTGCAGGGCCCAAGGACCTGGGCCATCCTCCATTGCACTCCCGGGCCACAGCAGAGAGCTGGCCTGGAAGAGGAGCAACCAGGACAGAATCCGGCACCCCGACCGGGGCTAGAACCCGGGGTGCTGGCACTGCAGGCGGAAGATTAGCCTATTGAGCCACGGCGCTGGCCAAGGCTGCTCCACTTCTAATCCAGCTTTCTGCTATAGCCCAGGAAAGCAGTAGAAGATGCCCCAAGTCCTTGGGCCCCTGCATCTACGTGGGAAGACCCAGAGGAAGCTCCTAGTTCCTGGCTCCTGGCTTTGGATAGGCACAGCTCCGGCCGTTGCAGCCAGTTGGGAAGTGAACCAGCAAATGGAAGACCTCTCTCTCTGCCTCTCCTTCTCGCTCTCTTTGTAACTCTGATTTTCAAATAAATAAATATTTTGAGCAGAATCAATGGAAAACATGTAGTATGTGTGGCGCTGTGTTGGAGTAGGTTAATCTTCTCAATGTAGTGCTGGCATCCCATGTGGGCACCGGTTCTAGTCCTGGTTGCTCCTCTTCCAATCCAGCTCTCTGCTGTGGCCTGGGAAAGCAGTAAAAGATGGCCCAAGTGCTTGAGCCCCTGCACCCACGTGGGAGACGAGGAGAAAACACCTGGCTCCTGGCTTTGGATCAGCGCAGCTCCGGCCATGCAGCCATTTGAGGAGTGAACCAATGGAAGGAAGACCTTTCTCTCTCTCTCTCCCTCTCACTGTCTGTAACTCTACCTCTCATATAAATAAATAAAAAAATCTTTAAAAAAAAAAGAATAGGCAAAATTTCTATTCTTTTTTTAAAAAAAGATTTATTTTACTTGAAAGAGTTACAGAGTAGCAGATGCAGAGAGAGGTCTTCCATCAGCTGGTTCACTCCCCCAGTGGCCTCAAGGACCAGAGCTGTGCTGATCTGAGCCAGGAATAGGAGCTTCTTCTGGGTCTCCCATGTGGGTTCAGGGGCCCAAGGGCTTGGGTCATCTTCTACTGCTTTCCCAGGCCACAGCAGAGAGCTGGATAGAAATGGAGCAGCTGAGATTTGAACCAGTGCCCATATGGGATGCCAGCACTGCAGGCGGCAGCTTTACCCACTAAGCCACAGTAACATCCAAAATGTCTATTCTTAAAAATAAAAAATTAAGGATCTGGGGGCAGGCATAGTGAGTAAAGCCATAGCCTGCAATGCCATCATCCCTTAAGGGTGTAGGTTCAAGTCCTGGTTGCTCCAATCCCAATCCAGCTCCCTGCTAATGGCCTGGGAAAGCATAGGAAGATGGTGCTTGGGCCCCTGTACCCACATGGGAGACCAGGAAGAAGCTCCTGGCTCCTGGCTTCAGACCGGCCCAGTTCTGGTCCTTGTGGCCATTTGGGGAATGCACCAGTGGATGGAAGATCCTGGTGCCCATATAGGATGCTGGCACTGCAGGCCGGGGCTTTAGCCTGCTGCGCCACAGCACTGGCCCCAAGTATTTCCTTCTACATTCAGGTCTGTTCACAAAATAAAAATCCTTAAGATAGGATGCTTATTCTTGGTAGCAAACGTGTGACAGGTACACTATCAATAATAAAGACAAGGATGTAATACTACCTAATATACTGGCATTCTATTACCTTGGACCAAGGTGCTGAGTGTACATGATCAAATAAAGCATTTAATCAAGTATACTACTACAAATTAAAAGGTTCAACTTCTGTTGGCAAACCTACTTTGACGTTTTCCATAAAAGCTAAAGGCTACACATTTATATATCAAATCGTATTTTCTTTACCTAAAATCTTATTTAGATTGTCTAAATCTCTGCTGGATTTTCAATTAAACTGATTTAAAAATTTAATTTCCTCAATTAACTCATCATCCTCCCCTCATGATGCAAACATGTAATGAATATTTGAGAATTCAATATTTAGAGAAATCAATTCATTATTAAGTAAATAGAAGGGTTTGATATCTTTTTTTGGCGGGGGGCAAGAATCACACCATACTAAATAGCTGTTCTTGCGCACACAGCAGTTTTATCCCAATGTGAAGAAAGCAATATAAATTATGCCATTAGTCATGATTATAAGATATTAGCAAACATTTATCCTTAAACTTCCCTATATAATGCATATTCCCATCTATTTTTAAAGTTCAAGATTAAAAAATAATTGTACCATCACTCTCCATTACATCCTTCAGCCCACCCTACCAAGTCCCTTTTATCTTTGGTTAAAGCAGCAATTCGGCACATGCCCAACTTCTCTCTTCCCTGAATCCAAGACAACCAGTAAGACACCATACTTTATGTACCACCAAAAGTGAGACAAGCTGCCAATTATTTTAAAATGTCAACTTCAAAATTAATAAAATGCAAAAACAATGTCTTATAATGAATGAAATATCGTAGCTACTTTTAAGGTTTATTTATTTACTTGAGAGGCATACAGAGAGAAGTCCTCCAACAGCTGGCTCACTCTCCAAATGGCCCCAACAGCCAGAGCTGAGCTGATCCGAAGCCAGGAGCCAGGAGCCTCCTCTGGGTCTCCCACATGGGCACAGGGGCCCAAGCACTTGGGCCATCCTCCACTGCCTTCCCAAGTCATCAACAGGGATCTGGATCAGAAATGGAGTAACTGGATTCAAACCGGCACCTAGATGCCTAACCCACTATACCACACAGCCAGACCCGGTAGCTACTTTTTTTTAAATACAAAATATGCTCCAAATGTTGCTCTTCTTCATAAGATATACAGAGATCTAATACTGTAAGTATTTTATTGACCTACTAACAGTAGGAATGATATTTTGGTTTTACAGACTTCATACCAACCTCAGACAACTGAAGAGAAGCAAAAAAGTTTGCATTTTCTGATATGTTCTTCAGTCTCTTCCTTTCATATGGTGACAATCCTGAAAAATCATCCTATGAAATTAAACCAAAAAAGATATTATTACTTTACATAATCCATAGCAAAAAGCGCCTCACACAACCAGGTGCTTCATTCTCTGTATGGATACTTTCCTTCAAATTGCACCCTTTCTGTTCATTTCATGTTGCCCTACCAAATGGCAAATAATCCTTGCTGCATTGGACACTGAGTGAAAGAGTCTGAATTTAAGATATTCATGAAATATTTGTACGGCTTCCCAATTAAATAAGAAGTGATCTGAAATTAAGAGTCAAGCAGCATAACCTAATAGCAAATTATTTTGTTGTGGCCATTAATCATACTATTCAAAAATTATCTTTTTATTAAAAGAAACTTCCATTAAACACAGCTGACTGAATAAATACATTTGCTTCTGCTTCCTAAAAACCCACTAATATAACACTTTTTTTTTTTTATTTGAGAGGCAGAGGCAGAGAGAGAGGTCTTTCATCTGCTGGGACACTCCCCAAATGGCCCCAACAGCCAGAGCTGGGCTGATCTGATGTCAGGAGCTTCTTCTGGATCTTCCAAGTGGATGCAGGGGCCCAAGAATTTGGGCCTTCTTCTACTTCTTTCCCAGGTCACAGTAGAGAGCTGGATCAGAAGTGGAGCAGCCAGGACTCAAACCAGTGTCCATATGGGATGTCAGCATTGAAGGCAGCGTTTTTACCCGCCAGGACACAGCACTGGCCCCTAGAAAACTAATTTTTAACACAAATCGCCAGAGATATGAAAAGCTAGTCTGCCAAGATGTGGACATGTCCCCCACATTTCATGTGTTGAAAACTTAATCTCCCAATTTAAATATTAACAATAGTTATAAATGAGGCCCTTGAGAGGTGACTGAACCATGAGAGCTCTGCCCTAACGAATACATTCATGGCTAAATGGGTTATTAGGGGAGTGACTTTGTTATGAAAGCCATTAGATACCCTCTGAAACATTATAAGGTAACAAGAAGACCCTCCTTGCAGACGCCAGGGCCATGCTTGCTCCCAGAATCCCCAGCCTCCAAAACTGAATTAAATACACAAACTCATCAATTTCTTTTCTCTACGAATTATCCTGTCTCTGGTATTCATTCAGTTATAGCAACAAAAAATGGACTAAAAAACAGTATATTCGTGAAATAAGAGCAAAATATCTCAAGAAGGAAAAATTCAAAGAACATAAAAAGAACTCAGTAACAGATATTTTTAAATAAATTAAAAGTCTTAAGGATAGGGCCAGCACTGTAGCATAGAAGATTAACCCTCGGCCTGCAGTGCCAGAATTCCATATGGGTGCCAGTTGAAGTCCCAGCTGCTCCACTTCAGATCCAGCTCCCAGCTAATGCACCTGGAAAAGCAGTGGAAGATCATCCAAGTCCTTGAGCCCATGCACCCACGTGGGAAATCAAGATGAAATTCCCAACTCCTGGCTTCAGCCTGGCCTCGGCAGCCATCTGAGGAGTGAACAAGTGAATGGAAGATTTCTCTCCTCCTCCTCCACTTTCTCTGTATCTCTGCCTTTCAAATAAATAAATATATCTTTAAAAAAATAATAAAATCCAAAAACAGTGATTATTAAAAAAATAAAATCTGTTTTAAAAAAAAGTCTAAGGATATTTAGAAATGAGAACAAAAAGGAAAAGATCAACATATGGACAAAAAAATTGGAGAATCAGTCTTGAATCCATATTCAACTAATAATTCAAGAAAATGGATAATTATTAGAGAAAGAATATTAGAAAGTTTCTCGAAACTGAAGATAACGACTTTCCAGATTAAAAGGTTCCAGAAAAAGGGCACGTGTTGTGGCACAATGGGTTAAGTCCCCACTTGGGATGCTCACATTCCATATCAGACTGCCAGTTTGAGTCTTGAAAGCTCTGCTTCCAATCCAGCTCTCTGCTGATATGCCTGGGAAGCAGCAGGTGATGGCTCAAGTCTGGAGTCCCTGACGTATGTCCCTGACATATGACATGGGAGACCTGGATGGAGCTCCTGGCTCCTGGTCCAACCTGGCTCAGCCCCAGCTATTATGGGCATTTGGGTAATGAACAAATGTATGGAACGTATCTTTCTCTCTCTGTTACTCTGCCTTTCAAATAAATAAATATTTTTTAGAACTTAAAACAAATGAATAAAAGGGGTCAGTGAGTACACAAAACAATAAATGACAAAAGACCCAGGTTCAAGCATATCATCACAAAATTTCATAACACCCAAGATAAAATGAGAAGATTCTAAAAGCTTAAAGATGGAAAAAAAAATCAGGAAGAATTAAGAATCATAATGGCACTAATATTACATTTAGGGAAACTAGAAAACAATGGAGCAATGCATTAAAAATTCTAATGATGGGGCCAGTGCTGTAGCTCAGTGGGTTAACTCCCTGGCCTGAAGGAATGGCATCCCATATGGGTACCAGTTCAAGACCCAGCTGCTTCATTTCTGATCCAGTTATCTGCTGTGGCCTGGGAAAGCAGTAGAAGATGGCCCAAGTCCTTGGGCCCCTGCACCCATGTGGGAGACCCAGAGGAGGCTCCTGGCTCCTGGCTCCTGGCTCCTGGCTTCAGATCAGCACAGCTCCAGCCATTGCAGCCAACTGGGGAGTGAACCAACAGGTGGACGACCTCTCTCTCTCTCTCTGAGTAACTGACTTTCAAATAAATATATAAATATTTAAAAAATAAAGATTCTAAGGAAATATTATTTTCAACTAAGATTCTAAATCCGATTAAGTCAAGCCGGCGCCGCGGCTCACTAGGTTAATCCTCCGCCTTGCGGCGCCGGCACACCAGGTTCTAGTCCCGGTCAGGGCGCCGGATTCTGTCCCGGTTGCCTCTCTTCCAGGCCAGCTCTCTGCTGTGGCCCGGGAGTGCAGTGGAGGATGGCCCAAGTGCTTGGGCACTGCACCCCATGGGAGACCAGGAGAAGCACCTGGCTCCTGCCTTCGGATCAGCGTGGTGCGCCAGCCGCAGCGGCGGCCATTGGAGGATGAACCAACGACAAAGGAAGACCTTTCTCTCTGTCTCTCTCTCTCACTGTCCATTCTGCCTGTCAAAAAAAATAAAAATAAATAAAAAATAAAAATAAATAAATCCAATTAAGTCATCGATCAAAATAATCATTCAGACATTCAAAATATGTTCTCTCTCATATGCTTTTCCTTAGGAAGCTAATGCAAGCTGAACTTCATCAAAATGAAAGTAAAAGAAGAAAAGACAAAGGAGGGGGCCGACATTGTGCCATGGCAGGTGAAGCTACCACCTGCAGCCACCATGTAGGCGCGGGTTCGGTCCCAGCTGCCCCACTTCCGGTTCAGTTCTCTGCTGTGGCCTGGGAAGGCAGTGGAGGATGGCCAGGGTTCTTGGGCCTCTGCACCCACATGAGAGGCCCAGGGGAGCTTCCTGGCTGCTGGCTCCTGGCTTTGGATTGGCACAGCTCTGGATGTTGTGGCCATCTGGGGAGTGAACCAGTAAATGGAAGACCTCCCTCTCTCTGCCTCTTCCTCTTCCTCTCTGTAACTCTGTCTTTCAAATAAATAAATAAATCTTTAAAAAAAAAAAAAAAGATTCAGGAAGAGGTTCCAGCATAAATATGATAGAAGAAATTCAAAACAAAACAAAGGCAAAGCAGTAGGAAGATGGAGAGTTCCAGAGTAGTTCACAAAGGGAAAAAAAGCCATCTTTGATTTATTCTGGGAAATTTTGTAATTCTGGTAAAGCTTGGTCTGTACCTAATAAGGATATGAGAAGGGAAAGACAAGTATGTGTGAGTGTGAGTGTGTGAAGAGCATGGAGTAAATGAAATAAACTTTAATCATCCATGGTAAGTGAACAGATAACATGGTGGCAGGCAGGGGGGAGCCAAGCGGAAGAAGCTTAATTTTTTTTTTTTTTTTTTTTGACAGGCGGAGTTATAGACAGTGAGAGAGAGACAGAAAGAACGGTTTTCCTTCCGTTGATTCACTTCCCAAATGGCTGCTACGGCCAGCGCTGCGCCGATCCGAAGCCAGGAGCCAGGTGCTTCTTCCTGGTTGCCCATGTGGGTGCAGGGGCCCATGAACTTGGGCCATCCTCCATTGCCCTCCCGGGCCACAGCAGAGAGCTGGACTGGAAGAGGAGCAACCGGGACTAGAACCCGGCACCCAATATGGAATGCCGTCACTGCAGGCAGAGGATTAACCAAGTGAGCCACGGTGCTGGCCCCAAGAAGCCAAATTTTTAAAAGTACCATTTCCTTGGCCAGCACCGCGGCTCACTAGGCTAATCCTCAGCCTGCAGCACCGGCACCCTGGGTTCTAATCCTGATTGGGGCACCAGGTTCTGTCCCGGTTGCTCTTCTTCCAGTCCAGCTCTCTGCTGTGGCCCACGACGGCAGTGGAGGATGGCCCAAGTGCTTGGGCCCTGCACCCGCATGGGAGACCAGGAGGAAGCACCTGGCTCCTGGCTTCAGATCGACGTAGCACGCCAGTCGTAGTGGCCATTTTGGGGGTGAACCAATGGAAGAAGACCTTTCTCTCTGTCTCTAACTCTGCCTGTCAAAATAAATAAATAAATAAAAATTAAAAATAAAAATGTACCATTTTCTTTTGAGCAGCAATCAAGATCAGTGAGGTATGTGGCAGGAAAAAAAATTACTTTTTAATTATTTGCTTTCACTTTATTTGAAAGACAGAGAGAGTTCCTCCATCTGCTGGCTCACTCCCCAAATGCCCACAACAGTTAGGACTGAGCCAGGTTGAAGCTGGGAGCCAAGAATTCAATCCAGGTCTCCCACATGGGTGGCAGGGTCCCAGGTACTTGAGTCATCACCTACTGTCCCCAGGGTGCTCATAAGCAGGAAGCTGGAATTGGAGTCAAGAGTCAAACCGAGGCACTCCAATATAGGATGTAGATGTAGCAAGTGGCATGCATCTTAACTGCAATACGAAATGCCCCCTCCAGGACCATTTCTTACTGCTAAAAATTCCATAAACTACCGAAGTACCAAATCTTATACATATT